GGGGCTACGGCTGTGCCTGGCGTGACATTCCTGGAGTTTTCGCTCGGGTCCAGACCTATGTGCCCTGGATCCAGCAGCAGATTCACAGTTCTTCCTGAGCCCAGTCTACTGACCTCCACTGGCCAGCCAAGGAGCCTGCTGCCCTCCAGCGCCTGGGTCTGCTGCTTCTGCTTTTGCTTACCCAAGACGCACTTTCTCCTCCGGCCTCCTCACAGCCCTGGACTTCCCTGACTGCTGGCAGGCTGAGGGCCTGTGCCTGGCTCTTGCTGTCTGTCCCTCATGAAAGGGCACAAGGTGTGTGGGGCGGGGGTTTGAGCTCCGAGGAATTCGTGCCGGGCTTGCTGAGCACCGAGCTGCTGGAGGACACCTGGATATTTCTGCTTTCTGCCTATTCTGAATAAAGATGCTACGAACCATCCTGCTGAGGCTTTTGTGTGAGCACAAATCACCCTTTCTCTGGTACAAACACCCACAACCGCCACTTCAATGCCCTTTTCCAAATTCCCAATCAAGGCCTTAACCCTCCAAAGTTGGGGCTCAGGTGAGCCCTAGGTCTGACACATGCCAATCCCGTCTCTGCGTTCCACATCTTGTCCCCTACCCTGGGACTCACAGGTGGTTATCAGGTGTAGATCTTGTCACCCTGTTCCTCCAAGGACAGAGAACCCACATATGTCCTGGAGCCCAGACTTGACTGTGCAGCACAGGAAGTGGGTGACCCTCACGGAGGCACCTGCCCATGCCCCGGAAGGCTCAGTTCTCCAGCCCAGCCCACCAGAGGGGCAGGGCTTTCGACCCTGCTCCAGGCCTCCTAGGACGGTCAGGGAAGGGGGTGGGAATTCAAGGAGGAGCCTCTGCTCCTTCTCTGTGCAGGTCCTCAACCGGCAGAGAAGAATACGGGGTGGGGTGGTGTGGTGTAGACAGAAAAAGGATTTGCAAAGAGAGCCCTCTGGGAGAGCGGACAAAGGAGCTGATTACATGTGCCCGGCATGCACACACCCTGTCCCCACCATCTGGAGGGACGTCACTTCGAAACACAGGCAGGAATTCCACAGCAGCACGGGAGGTGGTTAAAAACCAGGCTCGCAGCTCACGTGGCCAAAGAGAGCCCCACGCATTCAACCTTCAGCACCAGCACTGACCAGAGCACTGACAACGTGTGCCCACCTACTCGCTGCCCACCCGGGCTCCCTACCTGTTGGTCCTCCGAGTATAAGGCTGGGTGCTTTTCCCAGGATGAAGACACCACATGCATTAAAACTCAGCTCCTTCTAACACGAGTTGCCTGTGACCACCCGGTGGTGAAATCCATCACAAGAAGAAGCATCTTCTGGAAGCTTGCCCCTGGCCAGTAGAAATTACTGGCCTTTAGCCCACCCCAGTATGAAAAGAACAGAAATCTGCTTTTTCCTTTTGTTCTGGGAGCAGCAGCTTGGCCAGTCCCTTGAGCAATTGTTCACAAGACATTCCCCAACCTTGTAAGGTCTGGGCTGGGCGGGAGTGTGCGGGTTTGAAATGTGTAGCCCGGGCTCATTTTGACTGTCTCTGTGTCCAAGGATCCCTTTGCTTGGTATCAAGCTCTTCCTTGAAAGACTGGTCATGCAGTGGAATGGAGCAAGCTTATGATGTCCCTGCTATGTAGTTTATAAACCTCCCTCTGCTGGGATGGAGTGTGGAACAGGGCACTGTGGATATCTGTGTAAGCCAACTGACGACAATGGACAGTCCCATGACTTTCTGGCCAGCATGTCTGGCCTGTCAACATGGGACAGCTCAGAGGTGCTGTTCTTAAGTGTACAGCCCTGTAGATTCCCTGAGCGATGCTACTGATGAGGGTGTGACCCTTGTGAGATTTTGCTGAGTGGCATTGCTGGATTTCTGCATGCTTTTCGTTGGCCTCACTCTGTAGCAAGTTGCAACTAACCCTAGCCTTTGCTGTGGGTGCCCGTTGATAAGTCATAGTAAGTCACATGGCTCACAAGCTGGCTCTGTTTTCTTCAGTTTTGCCGCCATAGCCCACTGTCCCAGTGCACCCAGGCCATGGGTTAGACCAGATGGGCCCTTAGTCTACAGGGGTGCTAGTTTCCAAAGAAGGGGCTCTGGGTGGGGGTGGCTTGCTGCACTGCTCCGTGATCCTCCCTCAGTCTCCATCAGCCAGTGGCTTTGTCTCCAAGGTTTTGTCCTCAGTCTTTGGGAACATCTAGTGGGACATCCCTAGAGAGTGGGGCCGGATGCCTCCGCAAGCCGCCTCATTAGCTGCCCTTGGTGCTGCCCACTGTGTCCCCAGGTGATCCCCACAGTAGGGAGGCCCAGGCTGTAGCCCGCTTTAGCTCAGAGCTCATGGGGAGGAGAATAAGTATCCCTAAGTCAGTGCCCTCTCCATGCAGGTCTGGGGGCGTTCTTGACTTCCTGGCACAGGTTGGTAGTTCCTGCAGGCTAGGCTCCTTTCAAACTTGCTGTTCCCTTAGGAATGGCCCAGGCTTTGCCCAGTTTCCACAAACACAGAAGATGCACTTTCATTTTGGCTATGGTACTAGTAGAAATGTTTTAAACAGCAAATGCTGTTTAAGGAGAAAATTCAAAGGGAAACCCATGAAACAGCAACTGAATGCCGAGTCCCACACAGAGATCATTTATAATAGATATGGTCATAGTCAAGCTGAGCTATACCGCGTTAGGTTCCCTGAAGAGGTGCATAGCGAATACAAAACAGGCTTGTTATATTTGTCATTTTGGGGTTGATATACGTTTCCCAATTTTCTTGGTGCCAGAATGCTTTCTGGAATATTCCTGGTAGACTTACTTCCTGGAAATAATGACCAACAGCCCCTGGGTGCTTCCTAGGGCCATGGTTCAGTCCAAGTATTACCAGGTGGGTCACGTTCTTGTCCCGAGACAGCACTACCATCCCTATCTTGTTGAAGAGAAAAGTGAGGCACAGAGAAATGCGTCATTTCCCCAGAGCCTGCACACACCTGCAGACACAGGCTGGGGCCGCACAATCGCCAACCCTGGGTCTTTTCCTGTTTCCCTTTTAGGCCAAATCCCACAAGAATACACAGTGCAGGGTCAGTCCAGGCGCTCACAGTGAACACAGGGCACCAATGCGGCAAGACCGGCTTCCCCAAGGGGCCCAGGCTGCCCTGACCAAAGGCAGCTGAGAATCCCAGGCCTTCCCACGCCGCTTCACCCCAGGCCCCCTCTCCCATCCCTGCCTCCCAGGCTGATGTCCCACTTGCCCCAGCCTGAGCCCGGCCACTCCCAGATACCGGGGTGGGGGCGCCCAAGGTGCTCTACCATCTCCACAGCCCCACTGACTGTCATCTAACATGAGAGACAGCAGGGAGCCAGCCTATCTGATCTTTTGCCAAGATCTTTTGGAGTCTTCTCCAAGATTCTAAGCAAAAGGCAGGAAGGACTTTTCTGGCCTTGCAGGAGCACTGTACCCGGCGAGGGATTCTGCGATTGTCACTCGTGTGGTTTCATTTGATCCCAGGCTGGGTTATTGTAGGGACTGGGGAGAAACAAGATCACGGACCATGCATCCCCAGAGGACTCAGCCTCTGTCCTGAGATGCGGTGTCCCTGACTGGTTCCTCTGCTCAGCTTTCCCAACCTGCTGTCTTGCAACACTGGCCCTGGGCAGCCACATCCTTTACCTAACGGTGTCCATGACCCAGGCATCTTTGCTACAGGGCTAGATGCCACATATCATTGGCTAGTCCCCTGACCCCGATCCTAACGGTTGCATGACCCTGCTCACACATTCTGGGTTCTCTCTCTGATGCTATCGCTGAACATGTCCAAGGTGGCCTGGTCGAGATCCTATCAGAGCCACCAAGTTCCTGTCCAGGCCCTGGTGCTGAACAGTCCCAGCTAGGACCACCAGTGAGGGGCCTCAGGTTGATCCCACCCAGATAAGGACACAAGGCCGCAGCATTGCTACAGAGAGCAGCACAGAGTGTGTCCCTCACAGAGGTGGCCTTCCTGTCGCCTACTAGGCTGCTGTGGCCATCCTAGGAAGCCGCTCCAGGCAGGTATGAGGGCTGCACCCTTTATGCACCAGTACTGTTATTTATTCCTGTCTGTCTGCCCCAGGCTCATCTGTCATCTTCCCAGGCCCAGACTCGTGCCCCTGAATTCCAATCCTGGAGTCCCTGCCATCTTTGGTCCCATCCTTTCCTTGTGTGTTTGTGTGGGAAGTCCCTCAGACCAGGCTCCAGCCATCCAACCTGCTATCACTTTCCTGAATCCAGCCTGTCACTGTGGGCAAAAGAAGAGTATGTGTTCTGGGTAGGAACAGGAGTGTTAGCTGGGGGCCTTTGGGGCTCCCTGGCATAAGAGTGACTTCGATAGGTATGGGACACACCAGTGTTTGTCACAGAGGCCCCAGGCCCTGGGAGTTGGTGATTTTAGCCTGTGGTAGGCTCCACCCAACTCTGGTTTCTCATATCTGTAGTGAGGTGGGCTGTCACGTCCCTGAAGACCGCTGCAGTCTGTAGGACCTCAAGGATTTGTCTCCCAGGCACACGTGTGGGCAGTCTGCAAGCACCACAGAGTGGGCAGTTCTGTAAGGTGGAGGGCATTTGCTCTCTCATGACCTCGATACTCTGACATCTGGGATGGTCATTCCCCCGGTTCAGAGTGGGATGTCTGCATGTGGGTATTGGTTGAGGTGGTGCTGACCTGTCAGACTCTTGTTGAGGGTCCTGCCTAAGAAAAAATGACACATTTCTGAGCATTGATCTGGGCCAACCAGCTCAATGCTCCCAGTGACACTACATTTCATGCACAGATGAGGAGTCTTGGTGCCCCAGCATCCAGGAAAGGACACAGGGCCTCTTGTCTGGATCTCTACCACCTATCACAACCTGAGACCGAATGCCACTTCCTGTTTGCCCCCTCCTCCAGGGAAGGACAGGTCAAACCCCTCCTACCCACTTCCGGTGGCTGCAGGATAAAGGGGCCCAGTGGCCTAGGGAGGAGGAGTGTGGAGTCACGCCACGGTAAGGGCCCATCCCCTCCTGCACCTCTGGTGGCTCTGGCCCTCTCCATCCCTGAGCTGGCCACCCCAACCCCTCCGTGCCTCTCTGCTCCACAGATGCTGAGCCTGCTGTTTGTGACCCTCTTCCTCATAGGGTGCTCTGTCGCTAAGCCCCCAGGTGAGTCTTGACCCCCATCGTGCCATCCCATCCCCGGAGGCCGTGGTGAGCCCCGTCCCCAGCTCCTGGGGCCTGTGCAGCGGACTGAGGGTCTTCTGTCTGAGCCCAGCCTCCCTGATGCTCCACGTATTACTTACAGCAGGGGCCATCGACAAAGAGCTGGTGGGCATCGTGGGGGGCCACAATGCCCCTCAGGGGAGGTGGCCGTGGCAGGTCAGCCTGAAGGTGTACAGCTACCACTGGGCGGCCTGGGTGCATAGATGCGGTGGCTCCCTCATCCACCCGCAGTGGGTGCTGACTGCTGCCCACTGCATTCACCAGTGAGTACTGCTTGTGCCGTCCTGGGGGATGTGGGTGGACAGAGGAGGTGCGGGTGAGGTCTGGGGACTGGGGACTCCAGGTAGTTCTGCTCAGGACTTCTGAGCCCTTCCCACGTACTCAGTGGGGGCCCCATAACGAGCTGTCCTCGGGGCTTCTCTCTGACTGCAGTAGAAACGCTGACCCATCAACCTACCGGATCCAGGCTGGGGACGTCTACCTGTACGGGGACCAGACGCTGCTGAGTGTGAGCCAGGTCATTGTCCACCCAGACTTCGTTGATGCCGGTCTGGGTTCAGACGTGGCACTCTTGCAACTGGCAGAACCAGCAGATTGCTCTGACAATATCACGCCTGTCAAACTGAGCTCCCTCAATCTTAAGGTCACCCGGAAGGACGAGTGCTGGGTGACAGGGTGGGGCGATCTCAGTTTCTTTGGTAAGTGTTGGCGACGACCTTGTGTATTCCATCGGGAGCCTCTGTAGCTGAGTCCGAGGCAAGACCAGGACATGAACACAGGACTGAGGGCAGAAATATGTCTTATCCTTTTGTAAAAGAATGAATAATGACAACAACAGAACACATTTCGGGAAACAAGAGAACACCTTGAGCCCTTATTTCTTAAATCCTCCACCTGCAGGTGGAGACATGCGTGGGTATCGTAGGGGACACGGGCCAGCACATGGGCCAGCACATGGGCCAGCACATGGGCCAGTTCCCCACTCTGTTTTCTAGGAGGGGAAGTTGAGGATCAGGGTTGAGAGGGACCTGGAGAGGGCGCAGCTCACCTCAAGCCTGGATACGGTGCCCATCAGGACTAGCCAAGTTCAAGGCGCTTATGGGAGGGGCCCGAGCACCCGCACTTCTGCCAACTCCGGCTCCCTCCCACCCCCAGGATGGCTGCCACCACCCTTCCGACTTCAGGAGGTGAACGTGCAGGTGGTGGAGAACTCTCTCTGTGAGGAGCTGTACCAGAACGCTTCTAGGCACCGCTACAAAGACAGGAGAATCATTCTGGATGACATGCTGTGTGCGGGAAGTGAGGGCCGAGACTCCTGCCAAGTGAGTCCCACTTATCCATGTCTTCTCAGACCACCATCACCCAGGCTTCAGGGCCAGTATTCACCATTTCCTTTGCTCTCCAGGGTGACTCCGGTGGCCCCCTGGTCTGCAAGGTCAGAGGTTCCTGGACCTTGGTGGGAGTGGTCAGCTGGGGCTACGGCTGTGGCTGGCGTGACATTCCTGGCGTTTATGCTCGGGTCCAGACCCATGTGCCCTGGATCCAGCAGCAGATTCACAGTTCTTCCTGAGCCCAGTCTACTGACCTCCACTGGCCAGCCAAGGAGCCTGCTGCCCTCCAGCGCCTGGGTCTGCTGCTTCTGCTTTTGCTTACCCAAGACGCACTTTCTCCTCCGGCCTCCTCACAGCCCTGGACTTCCCTGACCGCTGGCAGGCTGAGGGCCTGTGCCTGGCTCTTGCTGTCTGTCCCTCATGAAAGGGCACAAGGTGTGTGGGGCGGGGGTTTGAGCTCCGAGGAATTCGTGCCGGGCTTGCTGAGCACCGAGCTGCTGGAGGACACCTGGATATTTCTGCTTTCTGCCTATTCTGAATAAAGATGCTACGAACCATCCTGCTGAGGCTTTTGTGTGAGCACAAATCACCCTTTCTCTGGTACAAACACCCACAACCGCCACTTCAATGCCCTTTTCCAAATTCCCAATCAAGGCCTTAACCCTCCAAAGTTGGGGCTCAGGTGAGCCCTAGGTCTGACACATGCCAATCCCGTCTCTGCGTTCCACATCTTGTCCCCTACCCTGGGACTCACAGGTGGTTATCAGGTGTAGATCTTGTCACCCTGTTCCTCCAAGGACAGAGAACCCACATATGTCCTGGAGCCCAGACTTGACTGTGCAGCACAGGAAGTGGGTGACCCTCACGGAGGCACCTGCCCATGCCCCGGAAGGCTCAGTTCTCCAGCCCAGCCCACCAGAGGGGCAGGGCTTTCGACCCTGCTCCAGGCTTCCTGGGCCCCTCAGACATGGGAATCCAAGGGCAAGGGCCTAGAGGTGGCTCCCAGTACTGGTGACACTGGCCAGCGTTGGATGGTGGTGGCTGTCATGGACCAAGGGTAGAGAGAACCTGAAGCTGCTGAAATAGGCCATGTCCCATTGTCCCCTTCATGCTGGGGCAGAGCTGTGCTCAGACTTTCCTCTCCTCCAGCTGAGGCTCCTCTGACTCCCTGGGAGAAAGGGCTGAGCCTTCAGGTCCTATGCTGCATTCCCTAGGGCCCCAGGGGAAGCAGTGCAGCCTCTCCATCCAGCTGGGATACAGGGTGTGGTGTTCTAATTTGTCACCTCAAGGTCCTTTTAGGTCCCTCTCATCACCAAACTCCCGTTGCTTTCTGCTGGTGGTGTCCAGGGAGCCAGATTGCTGGCAGTGGCCAAGTTCAATTTCATTTGGTCTTGGCCTCTTGTTCAAAAAGCAGGAAGCAGACTTTTATATTCTTTAGGGGTTGCTTTAAAAAAAAACTGGTAATGGTACCCTTAATGATTACACTGAGCTACATTCCTAGCCCTTAAAAGACATTTATTTCAGACTGGTTTTCACAACTTTGCCACCTTGCCCAGGCTAGGATGAAATTGCAATCGTCTTGCCTCAGACTCCCAGAGTGTACACGCTGCTTCTGGGTCTCTCTTTTCGGAAGCTTTATTTGCTGTTTTCCTGCCTTGCTGCTTTGGAGAGGTATGCTGGGAAACCCGAACTCCCCCCTCCAACCCCCCAAGGTGGATGAGAAATGAGACCACACACGTGTAGAATCCACGCACAGGGTCTCCACGCACAGGGTATCCCAGGCCTGAGGACTCCAAGGCTCTGCTCCTGCACCTGGTGCCTTGGCCACCTCCCCTCCTCAGATCTCCAAGTTTCCACCCTGAGCCAGCTTGTCAGTTCTTGATGCTAAAGAAAAATCAAGGCTGGGGTCGTGGAGCCACCTAGTTCCTACCCACTCAAGACGTCGCCGTCCCTGCCACGCACTGGTGTCCACATCACCCCAGCGTGTCATTCAGCACAGTGTTGTGGAGGGGAAAATCTCTGAGGTGGGAGGTGGCGAGATGGGGTGGGTGTGGCTGGAGATGTTCCCAGGGTCCTCCAGCTCCAGCAGGGCGATGTCTGTGCAATTTCGGACGGTGTAGAACCGGGAGTGTGAGACGATCCGGCTGATGGGCAGCAGCTGGATGTGGTAATGGAGGTGCTGCTCACAGTTGCACCCGGATTTTTGTGGGATCGGTGACATTCATAGGGAAAGGAACTCTATCTGGAACAGGCCAAGTGCACTTGGCACCATGGAGGAAACCATGCTCCACCTGCTATCTCCAAGGACACTCATGGTCTTAGGCAGTGAGCTGCAGTCAGCACCCACTGGGAGTGGATGAGCGAACCCTGCAGAAATGTATCCAGGTGAGGTGTTGACCCTCAGGCTCACCTGCCAGGGCCACTTGCGGCCAGGGGCCTCCTGGCTCCCCACTATGCCATGGTGGGGTGGGCCAGGTCTGGGGGTGGGGCCAGGAGCAACCTCAAAACCAGAACACAGCCCCACCCTGGTTCAAGCCTCTAAACCCATCTGCCCCAGCCTGTGGGGTGTGGGCAGAGACAGGGCCAGTCCAGGAAGGACTCACCAGGGGCTGATGTGGACCAAGCTGGACAGGAGGGACACCCCTAGCGCCAGCAGGCTCAGCATCAGGCTCAGCATCTGGGAGAACCGGGAGGGAGCAGTGTGAGCCCGGCCAGGAGTACGGGCTGGTTGGGGTCAGAGGAGGGTGGGGCCCATCAGGATTGGGGGTTGGTGGACACCGGGGTCTGGGGCGTCAGCGCTCCAGCATATGCTCAGATGTTGGGGTCTCTGAGTCAGGAGAATTTATCCTGGCCAGGCCTGCTGTTCTGTACTCCCCATTTATCCGTCCAGAGTAGCCAGGGTCAGAGGAGGGGTGCCCCATCCTCCAAACTAGAGGAGGAGGAAGTGGATGACTCAGAGTCAGAACCCAGGCAGCCAGGGCAAGATAGGATCGGTCTCACCCTCCCCTGAGAGACCCAGACCTACAGATAGATCCTGCATTGTGGCCTCTGAGCCTTATCTGCGCAGCCATCCTAACTGGAGTGTACCCAGTTATCTTGGGGATCTGTGCTTCATCAGCTGAGGTGACAAGTGCACGGGCTCCAGGACAAGATGGACTCCAGGCCACTGCCTGCATGTCCATCCACCCCACTCCTGGTTTTCCCCAAGGACCCCTCCTTACCTTGGCCTCTGAACCCCTGACCTGTGTGTCTCCATTCTGGCCTCTGCACATCCTAGGGCATACGCTCTGGTATCCTCCCGGGAAGCATGGGGCAGACAGGTGGTGTTCCATTCAGTGAACCTGCTCCCTCCTCATTCTCAAGTCGAGGGCAAGTCTGATGAGATGGGACCAGCAGGTGCCCACAGGTGATGGGGAGGTGGGCTGAGAAAAGATATGGGACTGGGTTGGGAGGGGAGGGACATGACACAGAAGTCCAGGTCTGCAGACACCACTAAATCATGAGACCTTTGGACCCGGTCCTCCATGGAATGTTCCAATTGGCTTAGACCTGGGAGGTAAACGAATCAGTAGCTGTGAAGATGTGAGTGTTATGATTGGTGGACGCTCGATCAATCAGCAGCTGCGAGGATAGAAGTGTTATGATTGGCTGACGTTGGACCAATCAGGACTGGCCTGATGATGCTCTTCCCTTACTGGAGAGGAGAGGAGGGGAGGGGAGGGGAAAGGATAGTTACATCTTGAAGTGTTTCTCTTACATTTTTCTCTAGTAGTTTCAAAGTTTCATGTCTTACATTAAGGTCTTTGATTCTTTTTGCGGTGATTTTTGTACAACATCGGAGATAGGGGTCTAGTTTTAATTTTCTACATGTGGGTATCATTTCTACTTGTTAAAGAGGCAGTCTTTTCTCAAACTGTATTTTGGGCAACTTTGTTGAGAATTAGATGATTATAGATGCATGGGTTTATTTCTAGGCCTTTCTGTTCTGTTTTATTCTATTAGCGTGTGTCTATTTTTAATGCCAATGTCATGCTGTTTTTGCTAGAATGGCTTTATAGTAAATTTTGAAATTGGGTATTGTGATGCCTCCAACTTTGTTTTTTGCTTAGGACTGTTTTGGTTAATTGGTGTGTTTCCATATGATTTTTAGGATTTTCTATTTCTTTTTTTTTTATCTTATTGAGTTTATTGGTACATTTTAGGTATACATTACAGTTACATTCATCATTGGGATCTTGTACCTTGACATGACAGGTCTTGGTTCTCATTTTTTCCCCTTACCTCTAGGATTTTCTATTTCTACGAAGAATGACATTGGCATTTTCATGGGAATTATACTGGATCTGTAGATCATTTTCAATCATATGGCCATTTCAACATTTTTTTTTTTGTACTGGGATCGAACTTGGGACTCTGTGCTTGCAAGGCGGGTGGCGGCGCCACTGAACTAAATCCCCAGGCCTGTATTTCAGCAGTTTTGATTCCCCTGGGCTGGGGATTTAGCTCAGTGGCACCATGCCTGCCTCCCAAATGCGAGGTCCTCAGTTTGATACCCAGTACCAAACAAAAACAAACAAAAACAAAACAACCCAAACAACAACCCCCCCAAGCCCCCCATTTTGCTTGTCCCAATCATGAATATGGGGGGTCTTTTCATTTCCTAGTGTCTTCTTCCATCTTTCTTTGCTTCCCCTCCTTCCTTTTTTTGTTTTTTTTCTGAGACAGGTTCTCAATAACTTGTGGTTCACCAGCCTCAATCTCCTACGTGGCGGGTTTGTAGGTGTGAGCCACCATGCCCAGCAATTTCTTTCTTAAATGTTTTACAGTTTTCATTGTCGGGGTCTCTCATCTCTTTGGTTGGGCTTTTAAAAGCTATTGTGAGTGGGATTTGTGTGTGGTGATTTTGCAGCCTGATATTTGCTGAATTTGTTTACCAGTTCTAAGAGCTTTCGGTGGACTCTTTAGGGGTTTCTCGGTATAGAGTCACATCATATGCAAACAGGGATAATTTGGCTGTTTCTTTTTCCTTATATACCCCTTTTACTTCTTTCTCTTGCCTCACTGCTTTGACCAAAATTTCAAGTATTATATCAAGCAAGAGTGGTGAGCACAAACACCATTGTCACATTCCTGCTTTAAAAGGAAATGCTTTCAGTTTTTCTCCATTCAGTATAGTGTTGGTTGTGGATTTGCCATACACAGTCTCTGTTATGCTTCGGCGTGAAAATTCTATACCTAGTTCATTTAAGATTTATATCATAAAGTGATGCTGAATTTTATCAAAGGTTTTTTTCTACATCTATTGAGGTGATCATGTGACTTTTATCCTTGGTGAATTAAACTTAATAATTTGCATTGAGGCTGCATCATGCAGATCATCAGGTCATTTCTCTTATGCCTCAGTTTCTCCACATCTGGGAGGGCAGCCCTGACCTAGAAGGCCTCAGTTGGACCCTCTAAGCCTGGCCTGATTTGGAGCAGAGAAAGTCCCAGGCCCCAACAAGAGCCCCAAATCATCTTGGCCATCAGACCCTGGCCAGACAGAGGACCGTTAGGAAAGATCTGCCCTGTGCCTTATCCTGTGGTAGAGACCACGGGACCTGCGGACAGATGAGATGACAGGGACTTTGCAGAGGGTGAGGACTCTGGTCACAGGGGGCCGAGCTTCCCTGGCAGGCTTAAATCGGCCCTGGGACTGTATTTCTGTAATATTTTCTTTCTTTTTAAACATATTAAAATTCTAAAAATATTTTAGAACAGTTCGTTTATTTTTTAGTACTAGGGGCTAAACCTAGGGCCTTGTGCATGCTAGGAAAGTGCTGACCCCCAGCTTTCTTTTTACTTTTATTTTGAGATGGGGTCTTGCGTTTTTCCTGACACTAATTTCTGTGTCTGTGTCTTATTGCACCTGATTAGAACAAATCCCAGGCACAAATTTTTAAAACAAACTGAAAACTAGAGAATAGGTCTACGACATACTGAAGTGAAAGTAGAGGTAAATAAATGGAAAGACATCACATGTTCATGGCTTGAAAGCTGTGACAATATTACTGTGAGAATTCTACCCATAGTGATCTACAGATTCAGTGTAATCTCTATCAAAATTCTAGTGGCCTCTTTTGCTTTTCAGAAATGAAAAAAACCAACCCTCAAATTCATGTGGAATTAAAAGTAGCCCCAAATAGTTAAAACCATGTTGGGAACAGAAAAAAGGTGGAAGGTGCCAGGTGTGGGGGTGCATATCGGTAACTCCAGTGATGCAGGAGGCTGAGGCAGGAGGATTGCAAGTTCCAGCCTGGGCAACTTAGTGAGACCCTGTCTCAAAATAAAAATAAAAAGGGATGGGATGTAGTTCAGTGGTAGAGCATCCCTGGATTCAGTTCCCACTACAAATCAATGTCAAAATTTTCTACAGGGCTGCAGGAGTCCAAACTGAAGTACTGATGTAAAGACAGATATACTGATCAATGAAAGAGAACTGAAAGTCCCAAAAGAGATGCGCACAGAGGGTCACTTGAGTGCCCCCAGAGTGCCAGGACCACTTTACCCCTACTAGGGTGGGTAAAAAGGAAAATAGCAAATGCTGTGGAGAAACTAGAGCCCTCGTAATGTGCTGGTGGGGATGTGCAGGGGTGCAGTGCCTGTGGAAACGAGTTCAGCGGTTCTTTGGGAAGTTAAAGGTATAAATACCGACGACCCAGAAATCCCATCCGAAAGGCACTGACAACAGGCCTTCCATTACAGGGAGACACATGTTCACGGCAGCACTGTTCATGAAAGCCAAAGGCAGAAAGGATTCAAACAATGTCCACGAGTGGATGGATGAATAAACACACTGGAGAGTCCACAGGGGGGCGCTGTTCAGCCGCAGGGAGAAACAGGGCCCAGATCCACGCCAGAACACGCAGGAACCTGCAAATCGCGGGGAGACAAAGAAGCCGGACCCCCGCCTCCCCCAAGACTGCGATTCCATTTGTATGAAATATTTGGAATCAGTAAATCCACAGGACAGGACACAGACTGGAAGTTCACAGGGGCTGAGGGATGGGGAGCACGAAGGGTGTCTGTTTAAGGATTCAGGGTCTCCTGTGGGGTGAAAGTGTTAATGTACTGACCGCTACCAACTTATTCACTTTGAAATGATGAATTTCACGCTGTGCGAATTGCACCTCGCAAAGTTTTAGTTGAACGGCAAATGAAAAACAATTTCACTAGTTTCAGTACTGCCATTATGTGTCACATGAGGAGAGGTCACTCATGTACAAAAACAGCTGTTAAGCTGTTTCTGGAGAGTGGGCTGTTTTAAACTTCCTCCTCCTGCCCCAGTTTTGGCTGCCTCTCGCTTCACCAGTGTGGCGATTACCTATTGGGACCAAAAGGATTCTAACCCTGGGCAGCAGGATTCCTGCCCAGCTTTAATGACCAAGCGGCTGTAAGATAACATAACGTACCAACACTGAGTAAAGGCAGAATAAGATAAAGATAAATCTTTCTCCCAGTGAGAAGGGGGCTTCTGTGAGGCGGAAGTAAATGATCTTGTTAATTTGAAACTGAGGTGTGCAGCTGTAGTTTTGATGCAGGTCATCAACAAGGAACAAAATTCCCTGAACAATGCATTTCCCCCACAGCTACATGTATTAACTGAGACCATTTCCCACATCCTCTTCATCCTTATACAATCCTCACCTTGCAACCCAATAAAATCTTTTCTTATTCTAATTTGGGTAAATTGTTTTTACCAACCCCCATCATTGGCCCTCTACACAATAAGCACTTGGTCTTGTCATCCTATGATATATATATAGGAGACAAGGTCTCACTACATAGTTGAGACTGCCCTGGAACTCACTATGTAGCTCAGGCTGGTCTCGAACTCACAGCGATCCTTCTGCCTCAGCCTCCCGAGTGCTGGGATTACAGGTGTGTGCCACCACGCCTGGCTCTCAATCTGTTTCTTTTCCACAGTTATTATCTGATGTATGAACTGGCCCTGACGGGACTCTACGGGCTCCTGTAGCTGGCTACTGTGTCCTCATGTCTCTTGGGATTTTCCCTTGCATGAGATTATTTCGAGGTCCCCTTGCACTCCCCGGATCCAGACATTTCTCCAGGAAGCCTGGGTCCTTCCAGGGGCACAATGTGCTTGGCAGCCAAGAGGGAGAGATGGGTGCCGCTCAGGACTCCTGGGGGGTCTCTGCGCTCATCAGCCCTTCTCAGGGGACAGAGCGAGGGAATACACGTGTACCCACGTATGCACACTACCGCCACGTGTGCACGATGGGTTTACACACAAGTGTGCACGCACATTCACGTGTGCACGTGTGCACAGCAGCTCACCCCGGTGTATCTGCATTTCGGTATCTAGGTGGGAATCCACGGGCTCCTTCTTTCTCGTGCCTGGGTGGTAATGCTGCCCCTGGCGCTCACCCGGATCGACTCTTCTCCATCTTGGGCCGCTCCCATCCTCTACGGCTGATTTGCCTCCTCCGCACTCTGCATGCATCTCTCCCGCTCCCATGCAGCCTGACTCCCACCCTGTCCCCGTGGCTCCCAGAGACTCAGAACAGAGGCAGAGAGAAGTGGGCACGGCTTACTTGTTTCGACAGCTGCAGCCCCTTTAGGGCCTTGTCTGCAGCCCCCGGCTGACCAGCGAGGGCAGTGTGCCCTTCACAGATCACCCACACAGACCGCCGCCCGTGTTTCCGCTGGACCGAAAGCCTTATTGTGGCACTGGAAATGTGTTTTTCTTTCTCCTTTCCTTCCCTCTCTGCCTCCTCCATACTTTACTTTTGGGCACAGATACACATGCTGTAGATGCTTTTCCTGGGCTCTGGATGGCTCTTTTGTTTTCAGAACAGTGCCATTCAACGAGCAGGAGGTTTTTTTTTTTTTTTTTTTGGTAAAGTCCAATTTACCCAGTTTTTTTTTTTTTCTATGTTAGTGTTTCTCAGTGCCCTCTGTCTGTGCAAGGTGGTAATTCTCTCCCTAGGTGTTATATAGTTTTAATTTTTATACTTAGGTTTATGATCCGTTTTGAATCAGTTCCTAGGTGTGGCTGGAGTAACAGCTGATGGCCGATACTCTGGAATAGACATAAATATTCCAGCAACATGTGTGGTAAGGTATCCTTCCTGTCTGACAGTTTGTGTGTGGGTTTCACCTGGACTATTGCTTGCACCGATCCGTACACCATCCTATGGTCTATCCACCTCCCACCAGCGCAGGGACCACAGCCCCGACCCTTCCTGCGTCTGTGCCTTTCCTAGAGCCTCTGTGGCCCCCATACAGCCCGCGAGAAGCAAAAGTCTCCGCGGTGGACTTGCAATCAGACCTAGTCCAACCCGCACGGCACCATGCACCCAGAACTGCGGCTTGCATGGGAACACCTACCAGGTCGTCCCCACTCGGACTCGGCGGAGGGCTGTTCTCACCCTTCTCTGGAGGGCCTCCGGTCTGCCCAAAGGCCGGGGTGGTCAGCTGGGGCTGTGAACTGAATCCACCGCCCCTCCTGGCTGGCCTCTTCCCGTGGCTGCTGGTCTTGGGAGATCCCGGCAGCCCAGTACGAGCTGCGCATCTGACCTTTGACCCTGGCCCGCATGACCCCGGTTCCCTCTTCCACGCAGAGCAGAGAGGGAGAGGGCCACATCCGGGACCTGCTCAGGGCCGGCAGCAATCGTGGTCATCCCTGCCTCCTCTCCTCTTGGGGGAAACAGGTGGGGAAAGGGCAGTTAGCTGCCAGGGTCTCACCAGGAGCCGAATCACTGCTTCTTGTTCATATTCGCCCAACCTTGCAGGACCTATGGTAGCCCTGGCAGGTGTTCAGCACCAACCGGGCGGAGGGCAGTTACCGGCTGCGCGACAAGACAACGCCGCTGTAGGTGGAGCAGCCCAGCCCTGCCCCGCTGAGTGGACTGCAGCGCGCCCCCTCTGGCGGAGACCTGGTTCAGAGTAAGTCAATCGTAAGGATCTCAGTCCCTCAGACACTGATTGGTCTGGAGTCAGCCGATCATAATACATCCTCATAGCCACTGATTGGTTCAGTGTCAGCCTATCAGCACAATCTTATCCTCACAACCACTGATTGGTCTGAAGTTAGCCAATCACAGCAATTGCATTCTCACAGCTGCTGATTGGTCCACCTCCCAGGCCTGAGCCAATTGGAACACTACTTGGAGGACCAGCTCTGGAGCCTGTGACTCAGTGGTTCCTGCAGGCTCCAGACCTCTTGTGCCCCCACCCCCTCACCATATATGGGTGCTCTGGATCCCATCTCATTAGCCTTGGCCAAGAGAGGCTGGAGGAGTTTGTTAGAGAAAAACAAGGGAGCAGATTCATTGAGTGGAATACCACTTGCCTGTCCCATGCTGCCTGGGTGGAGCCCAGAGCAGTATGCCCCAGCGTGTACAGAGGGCAGGGTGGAGGGACCCAAGGTGGGAGTCCAGGAGCCCAAGGTGAGGAGGGGGTCCTGGGGAGAGCCAGGAGTGAGGTGGATGGATGGATCTCGATGTGGAAGGGCTCAGAGATGGTTTTGGGGAGGAATGCCCAGAAGAGATGGGTGTGGGTCTCTTCTTGTCTCTGCCTGCCGTCCATGCACCATGCCCTCTGTTGATGGAGTGCAGATGCCTGAGATAATCAGTTACTCTCTGGTCAGTGGAGCTGCACAGATAAGATCCAGAGGCCATGCTGCAGGATCTTTCTGCAAAGTGTGATCTCTTGAAGACAACAGGGCCCCTTCCTGGCCAGAGCACTTGGTACTGCTCCCTCCGAGGCTGATTCTTCCTCTGACAAGGAGGCCTCATATGACTGTTCTCCTGAAGCGAGGCGAGGATAGCTGAGCCCTGCTCTGGAGACTCAGAGGACTTCGGGTGAGGCGACACTGCTGTCCGTGGCACCCTGTTGCTCCTTCGAGGGAGGACACGGACATGGGCTCACACTTTGTGTCCTATTAGGAAACACACAGAGTGCGGGAACGTGTAGTCCCCAGTTGCCACTGTGCCTGCAGTTCTTTGGTGAGACATCTTCGCTCCTGACTGGGTTAGTAGTCCGACCACAACAGCTGAAAGCTGGAACCATTCTAGTGCTAGAGATCCAGCAACTGAGAGAGGGACCCTCAAACATGCAGTACTCAGCTTATCACCAGGCCCACCGAGGAACCCCAATACACAGAGGGACTAGTGGATCCTGTGAAAGGAGCCCCTTTCACTCCCCTAGTTCACTGCAACTGGACTAGGGAATCACAGGGCCTGAAACTCCAAGACCCTATAAGAGAGGGTGGCTGGGCCTCTGCTCTCTAACAATAGGACTGGTGGGTACCAGATGGACATATGGGTAGTGGGGGCATGTGTCACATGGCAGACCTGGGTCTGAGTCATCCACTTCCTCCTCCTCTGGATTGGAGGGTAGGGCGCCCCTCCTCCTCCAACCTGATTTGCTCTGGGGAGATAAATGGGGATTTGAGGGCAGGCGGGGCAGAGAGGAAAAGGACTGGCCAGGGTAAGTCCTCCTGACTCAGAGACCCTGACATCTGAGACTCCAGTGTAGACCAACCCCTAATTTCCACGGGCTCCACCCTTTGCTGACCCCAGCTAGCCCTGACCCCTAGCCAGATTCATGCTGGGGGACTGACCCTCCTGATTCCTCTCAGATGCTGAGCCAGATGCTGAGCCTGCTGGTGCTGGCACTGCCTTTGCTGTCTGGTCCGGTCCACGCAGTCCCTGGTGAGTCCTGCCCAGGCTGGCCCCGTCTCTCCCTGCAGCCTCGCACCCCATAGGTTGGGATGGGTGGGCTCAGAGAAGCCCAGAGTCTCCCCAGCACTGGGCAGGGTTGAGCCAGGGTGGGCCTGTGGCCTGGTGTTGAAATTACTCCTGGCCCCAGCCCCAGGCCTGGCCCTGGAGCGAGCAGGCATTGTGGGGGGCCAGGACGCCCCTGGCAGCAAGTGGCCATGGCAGGTGAGCCTGAGGGTCAACAACAACTTCTGGATGCATTTCTGCGGAGGATCACTCATCCACCCCCAGTGGGTGCTGACTGCAGCTCACTGTGTGGGACCGTGAGTGTCCACAGGGCTGGCGGGTGGGGCGCGGTGCCAGTTTCTCCCAGGGTGCTCCAGAGCACAGGCCTGAGTAGGGCTTTGATTTTCCCAGGCACATTATGAGCCCTGAATTCTTGCGGGTACAGCTCCGAGAGCAACACCTTTATTACCAAGACCACCTGCTGCCCATTAGCCGGGTCATTACACACCCTGACTACTACGAGGTCCAGACTGGTGCAGACATTGCCCTGCTGGAGCTGGAGGACCCTGTGAATGTCTCCAGCCACATCCACCCCATCTCTCTGCCTCCTGCCTCCGAGACCTTCCCCTCAGGGACGCTGTGCTGGGTGACGGGCTGGGGTGATGTGGACAGTGGTGGTGAGTGGCAGGGACAGTGAGGGCTTGGACAGGCAGGGACCTGGGTATACCGGCTGCAGGGCTCCTTTGGGGGGACAGGGATGGGCCTTGATCTGTTCCTCCCTGAGATTACTCCTTCTCTCACCCCAGAGCCGCTCCCGCCCCCATTTCCCCTGAAACAGGTGAAGGTCCCCATAGTGGAAAATCACCTCTGTGATGCCAAGTACCACATTGGCCTCTCCACGGGGGACCACGTTCACATCGTCCGCGAGGACATGCTGTGTGCTGGGAATAGCCGAAGAGACTCCTGCCAGGTGGGCCCCAGCCACACTCACCGCACACACCTGTGCATTCTGGCCTTGCTCTTGAGCACTGACTCTTACCCTCCCCAGGGTGACTCCGGAGGGCCACTGGTCTGCAAGGTGAGGGGCACCTGGCTGCAGGCGGGCGTGGTCAGCTGGGGTGAAGGCTGTGCTCAGCCCAACCGGCCTGGCATCTACACCCGTGTGACCCATTACCTGGACTGGATCCACCGCTATGTCCCCAAGGACGCCTGAGCTGGCTTGGCTGGGCTGCCCCTGCATCAAGGGAGAAGAGGCCCCTCTCGCCACCAGCAGGCTGCCTCCTGCCCAGCTGAACCCCACCCAGTCTTCCCTGCTTGCCCCGAGCCCCCTCCCCTGTCTGGAGTCCCTGGCCCTCACACCCTTCCCCTATTTGGGTAGCTGATGCGCACCCTCCTGGCAGCTGTGTCTCATTAAAATGCATGAAAAGCATTCATGGATGTCCCTGGGTCTCTTGTTGTGGGTCACTGGGGAGAAGGGTCCCGGGCAGGGCCAGGTATGGCTTTGTGGCTGTGGGGTCCCCATCCCCTGAGGCTGGTGTGTTGCCATGGGAGCCCTCTTGCCTGAGCCCTTGTCCCTAGTGTCTACTCTGCAAAGGCTTACTTCCTTTTGGTGAGCAGCGCCACGGCCTTGGGACATGTAGAGCAGAAGGGACAACCTGAAAGATGAAAGTAGAGGACAGCTAGGCACCCTGCGAGCAACAGGGTCAGGAAATTGAGCATTATCGTCTGGAGCCCCCAACAGTCATGGTCCGGTTCCGACCCCAAGCATCCTCCCCACTGTCCCGAGCGGACTGTGCTGGGAACTTGCCCCGTTTCTTGTGTGAGATTCCTCTGTGATCTGCTTGGAGCCACTCCTGGAGGTTTGCCTTTCCCCTGAACCCCACATCGATGGCATTCTCGGTCATTAGCTGCTGCTGGTGGACTTTGGGGTGTTCCCAAGTGGGCCTCCAGGACTGTAGTCACGGTTCTTCTTACGCACACGGGTGCTGGTGAGGGCTCCCAAGCCCTAGCCGCTGCACCCTGTGCGAGGAGGGCAGCCTTTTCTTGGCTGGAGCCAAGGTGGGGCCGAGGGGTCCACTGTCCCTGTGCCGTGCTGGGGCGGAGTCTCTGAGGTCATTACCTTCCGTGCTTCCTGATCCTTGAGTGCTCTCCTCTGGGATGCCCTGTTTCTGCCTCTACAGCAACTTCGGATTGTTTTCTCCTGTATGCATTTATTTATTTTTTTCAGCCTAGACCATTCCCCTCATATAGGATCCCAAAAGCCTCCTCTTGCAACTATGCACGATTGTGTTCTAGATGCCCAGCCCTGCAGCCTGTCTGGGACATACGGGGGCTGGAAGGGTGTCCCTTCCTACCACCCTTTCCTAAGTGAGCTGCAGGAACTTGGGTGCTCAAGGAAAGGATGGAGGGGACTGATATGCCCATTGAGGAAGTCTGTGCTCCCTCTGGCCAACTGTTCCTGTGCTCTGGCCTTCAGAGTCTTGCGCCCATCACGAGGCCCCCTAGCAGATACGCCGCCCTATGTTTGCACCGGCTGTTTTGTCCCCACCCTGGTGTGCATTGCGCGTGGACACGATTGTGTCCATAAGCTGTAGAAGTCAGCTTCTTGGACACAATTTAAAGTAGTTTCATGGGACGCATTTTCTTTCTTTTTTTGTACGGGGGATTGAACTCAGGACCTTGCACTTGTGAGGCAGGTGCAGTGCCAAGGAGCTACATCCCCGACCCTGGCTCATGGCTTTTGGAGGACTCAGTTCATGGTTAGCTGCTTCCAAGGCAGGAACGTCATTGTGGAGGAGAAAAGATGCCCGGTTTAGGGTGACGGAGAAGCAGAGCAGGAGGAGTGCCAGAGAGGAAGGGGCCGGGGACCAGACGCAGCGCCCCAGGCCGGGCCTCCATGACCTACCCAGGCGAACTCAGAAGGGTGCCCCGCCAATCTCCCCAGTGGATCCCAGAGCCAGTCAAGCTGAAACTGCACACTAATGCCACACAAGAAAAATGGGTAAGTTACACGGCTCGGTCCTTCAGGATTCATTCTGGGGCTTTGAGGTGAGATTTTTCACTTTCCTCTCCTCCCCGTTGACAGGTGCAAATGCACTCATGGTAAAATCCCTGGATGATCTGTCCTCCTCAGGGGAGATTCTGAAATGACCCACCTGGCTCTTCCCCAGAGCCCGATTTCTGTGGGCCTGCTGTCCACAAAAAGGAGGGGTGAGGATGCCAGCAGCGTCCCTGGGCCCTGCTCTGCCCGGTGACAGCTCCCCACAGTCCTGCTACCCTTACTCTCTGGAGCGAAATCAACTGGGGAGGAGGTGCTAAACCGCTCCATTGTTCCACTTGGTTTTATTTTTAATAACATATTTGCACTTCAAATAAATCTGGGAATTGTCGAGAGCCGCAACGTCAGAATCCTGCCAGCAGGTCCCAAACCCGAGGGAGGAACAACAGGAGAGCAAACAGTTTCACGAACTTAGTTCCAGGCTCATGCTCTCTTCGTAGCAAGGCCCGATTTAGTTTTCAGGGTGGGGTATATATAGGCTAAAACCGAAACCAAAAGTGTAAACATTTATACTCTTCAGCTGCATGGGAGTGAGAGCTGCACGGGAGCGAGGGCGCACGGGAGCGAGAGTACCGCCCACACGTTCCAGAGGGAAACAATAACAACCATTATGGGTTCCATCTGCTACCAGCTGAACTCTCCCGTTGCTATGGGCGAGGTGATTTAGTTCAATCATGGCTAGGCCTATGTCAAGGCTCACCACGATGGCTCGCCATAGGGAATCTGTCCCTCCTCCCTCCCACCCACCCATCCCATTCACAATGGGATGCTTTCACTGTGGGCAGACGGGCTGACCTCTGGAACATGTTAAAACTCCAATAAGTGGATTTACACATCCTTAGTGGAGGCTGTGCAGGGTGCAAGGCAAGGGATAGAAGTCCCCAGGAGAAGGCAACGCGGCCCTGGGGATGGGGTTGGAAGGAAGGCGACAGGAAGGGCTGGAGGAAAGAGGGCAGGGTGGCCTCACGCTGGGCCTTTCCTTATATCTGGCCCTCATCTGAGGAGCCCAGTCCAGTGGCACATGGCAGATGAAAGTGAGGGCAATGGCGCACACCTGTTATCCCAGCACTCAAAGGCTGAGGCAGGAAGGTTGCTGTGAGTTCAAGGCCAGTCTGGGCTCTACGAGACCTTGCCTTAAAATGCCCCCACAAAAAAAATGTTAGGCCAGGGGTTTAGCTCAGTGGTGCCTGCCTTGCAAGTGCAAGGTCCTGAGTTTGATCCCCAGTACAAAAAAAAAAAAAAAGAGCGAATGTTGACACTATTGAGGTAGCTGCCAGGTAGGGCCAGGCCAGCAGGAGCGCTAATCTTCTCTGTACGGCCGGGGCTTCTCCCCCAAGGACAGATGCCCAGGAGACAGATGTAGCCCTAAGCTGTGGCTTTCCTGGGGTCTCAGCTACAGGAGATGTCAGAAGCCACCACCAGGGCCGGGCCACTCCTCCCCCCACACACTCTCTGGAAGATGAGGACAGACTGACACCTGTCACAGCGTTGCCCAGGGGACAGAACAGGCTGGTCTGGAGTATCTTTCTTGACAGCAGGCCTGGGGATCTGGGGGACACTGAGGGCTCTGCAGGGAGCAGGGTTCTTGTGTTCAGGTGGGGCGATGAGTTCCCTGGTGCTGCAGGTGAATTGGGCTGGGACAGGAGAGAGCCCCGAAGGGCTCCACTGGGGTGACCCGGAAGGACCCTGGGGGGCAGGTCTCAGGATCTGATTCCATGAAGAATCTGCTCTCCCCACCTGCTTCACCCCCCGCCCCAGATGACAGCAGGCTCCCGGGTCCCCAGGTAGGGACAGCCGGGACTGGAGATACCTGGGCTCCCACCCTGCTGCCCCTGGGCTGAGTGACTGGACAGGTCTCTCCCTCCCCAAGCAGCACCTCCCAGGTGTGGCTGTCCGGAGGAGGGAAGTGGGGACAGCTGATGTCAACCCTACTTGTCGGTAGGTCAGACAATTAATACGTATCTTTAAGCCAAGGCTACCATTAGCCAGATCCTAGTATGAAGGAGGCCACGTCTGTGCCCGGTGAAGTTGCATCCTGTAAATTACTGGGTTATACGCCATGTCTCAGTACCTTACACTTAAAAGGGGATGCTTGACAAGCCCAGTCTGTGATTTGGAGATGGGGAAAGTTGCTGGCTCTTCCTATGGCTCATTATCAGTTTGGTCATCAGGCCTCATCCATCTGGGAAGCCCTGGGCAGCTGGAGGGCTCTTTCCAGCGGATCTTTGGCACAGATGAGCGAACCTGAGGGACAGGGACATGGTAGCGGGTAGGTTATCACGGAAGCCTAAGCTGACTGTGCCAAGCTTTCTGGCCCTTGGGTTGGGATCTTCTTGAGAAGCTGTGTGGGCCCTACAGGAACCAGTGAGGGCTTCCCGGTAGAGGTGGCATTGATCCAGCCTACCCTGGGACAGCAAATGCTCAGGTTTGCAGTGGGGGCTCCTGGGTCTCATCCTGTCCATTCTGTGCTCTGGCCTACTCCTGAGCCATCCGCTGGTTGCCTAGGCTGCACTGTCCACATGAGGACAAGGGGAGGTGACGATTCCTCCTGCAGTAAGCAGAGGAACAAGGCACCCTTTCCTCCTCTTCCCTCCCTGCCCCAGATATCGGGTGTGAAGACTTCCCCACCCCACCCCACCTTGTATCACTCCATGCCAGCAGCCCAGGGCTCAGGACCATCGCCCTGGCCCTGGTGAGGACAGAGGACATGGTCTGTGAGCCCATAACCTCCTGTAGCTCCTGGCTGTGCCTGGGTAGAGGTGGGGGTGTTGCTGGGCGAGCATCTGCACCCTGCTGGGGTGGGGTGGACCCTACAGCTTCTCTGGGGTAGTGCTGATGCCGTATTTCCCATCAGCCACAGAACTGGAGGCCAAGAGGGGGAGATACTGAGTTCCCTGGAGGTGGGGCCCAGCGTGCCCTGTGCATAGCCTGCACTACTGGGTGAGGTGCTGGGGGCAGAGGCACCAGGAGGGGCTAGGAGCAGCAGCATGCCCAGACCCCAGACATGGAGAGGCCTTCGGGTTGGGCGGTGCTGGAAGGCAGGAGTGGGCAGGGCCAAGGCCGAGGCTGAGCTGTTTATAGTCCTGACTGGTCACTATGGCTACTGTTTATAGTCACGGCTGCTTGGGGCCTGGGCAGGTGGCTGGCAGCCCCACCTGTCTTCCTAGATAATGGTCTCAGGTGCTTAGGGCAGGGGATCCATCCTAGGGTCACCCTGGAGCCCAGTGGGCATCCCTCTGAACTTTGTGGCTGGAGGTGCCTCCCTGGGCATTTGCCCTGGCCCTGTGAACCTGTCCCTAGGTCTCAGGTTCATCCCATGGGGCTCTGCAGCCAGCTGTGCCCCCGCCCCACCCCAAAGGAGTGG